AACCCCAAAACCCCTTCATTCAAATTTTTTATGATATTATAAAAGTTTTAATTTATTTTGTCTGAATTAAAAATAAAATGAAGATCAATTTAACTGCTGTGAAAAACAATTTTTCTACTTCCATTCAAAAATCACCAGAGTAGAAAATCAAACCACTTGACCCTAATATAATTTCAGTCTACTCTAATTCAATTCATTATAAGATAGTCAGAGAGTAGCCTAAAAATCCTAATTTAGTAATTTAAATTAAGCTATAATCTCATTAATTGACATTTGCTTTAGATTAACCTACCGATTTCTCCATCAAAATAAATGAATTTGTTCAATAATTTGCCTCTTCACAAAGTTAACTTCAGACTTGAGTAACATCAAGCAAATCCATATGCTTTATCAGCAGGAGAAAATGCTTAAATTGAAGAATCAGATGCCAAAGATAGAGACGCTAAAAAGAGACAAAAAGTTGAAGATTTCTTAACATAAACAAAAATGAATGTTTACAGAAAGGAGCAATCAGATAAAAGAGAAAAAATGGAAGTCTATTAGGAAACCGTAAATTTTATTGATTATTTTTACTGGTAACATTTAGGCGTAAAAAATAAAGAAACTGCTTAGTGAAACGATTGAATTTTCACAAAAGACAGTAAACATTGCAGCTCAGCATAAAAGACATTAACTAACCGAAAATTCGTAAGAGAATTTGAGAGATAGGCCAATTAGAGACTTAATTGGAGGGGAGAGTACTAATTCTGGGAAAATTAGATTCGATCCAAGAGCAAGTAGTACAGAGTTCAGAGGATTCGGTAGATCAACTGCACAGAATGACTCTAAAAGTCAACAATAGATGCATGTAGTTGAACATTCAGAACATGAATCAGAAATAAATGTAGATATTGGATCTCCTTAGATAAATAAGGCATTAAAAGAAATTCTCAAAGCAAGACATTACTTATCTAAACATCAACACTTTGGCCTCGACAATAACATTGTGAATATTGGAGATGACTCTTAAATGATGAATATCCAAGAGGGATAGGAATCAAATAACTAAATCACAAGTCCCTAAAATATTGACAAAGACTTAGACCTTCTCAAAAATATTATTACAGATTATGCTGTGACAATTGGCCAATTAAAGCCAAGAGATTTCAATGCAGATCTTCCAATTCTATCTACTCTTGGAGCTGAGAATTATGATAAGATTGATGACATTGATTCTATGACATTATAGCTAGAAACTGCATTAAAGAAATTTGTGAAAGATTGGAAAACTCTTGATTAAAAAAAGATTAACTACCTAATGAAGTTCGGTATTGTTCAAGAAGTAATGAAAGTAGAAGAAAGAAAAGCAGTGAGAAGAGAAGCAGCTCATTTGAGAGCTTAGTAATAGTTAGAATAATAGTAAAATCCTCCATAAAGTCCCGAGAAAAAGAATAAGAATAGTGATTTAGCAGGTTTATAGTCATCAGGCCATAAAACAATGCAAAGCTATTCTCCAGGATTTACTTAATCAAGATAGGTATTTGCGAATTAGACTAGCCTCTAAAAGCGAGCAAGAGAGGGCTCAATAATGACTGAATTATCAAAATCTGGAGCATTAGCTACGACAACTGGAAATTTTGGTGGCAAAGATAATCTTAAACAGTCTTCTAACTAGTAATACTAATCTACATAAAGTTAATAAAAGGTATTATTCGACAATGTTGCCAAATCAGCAAACAAATACCAGAAAGATGCATCTATTGATCTTTCACAAGGAGGAGCAAAGTCAACAACATCATATCACAGACCTTTATCTTCGACAGGATTCATGAAGAAAGATGCCCCAACTATTGGAAACCCTTTAATGATGAAAATGGATAGGCAATCTAAATCTAACTTAAAGAGTGCCTTAAGATCATCCTCAGGTCATGAAACATCATCTAAGCAATCAAGAGGCTATAAAACCTTTTCAGGAAAATCCAAGCTAGAAGAAGATTTTGAAGCAATGTCAATCGAAGAAATTGATGTTTTGATTGAAAAGGCATAGAGAGAAATTGATTAAGCTCTTGACATTAGAAGAAGAATACTAAGACATAAAATGTTAACAAAGAAAATTAAACAGAAGAAGCTCGAACCAGTTGAGAGAGTTTTAACTGACTTGAGACAAAGAGTGCAGAAACTAGAAATTATCAAGGATGCAAAGATTCCATTCTACGAGAAATTGCCCAAAGATTCACCATTTTACAAGCATTACATGAGTGTACTATATGCTGCAAGAATGCAGGAAGCAACTACCAAAAAGGTTGTTTAGGATAGAAATCTCTTCATAAATGTAGCTAAACAGATCCCTAACTACAAACTCACTGAAAAAAAATTGCATGCAGAGACCAATGAGTGAAATTTTGAAGATTACTACTAAAAGCCAATTTTAATACTATGATTTTCTAAAACTTACTTTATATATCCTACCATTATGGGGTTTTGGGGTTTTGGGGTTTTGGGG